AATAGAACTGAAGCATCTATACTGTAAACTGAAACAGTACCTGTGATAACAGCGTTAGATGACTCAGCCTCAGGCGTGGCTCGGAAAGCATAATATCGGGGCTGGGCCCCACCACTCTGAACTACGTCCCTGGGACGACCTCTAACTGGATGGTCTCCACCTCTAACTGCCTGACCTCTACCTCTGGTTGCCTGACCCCTACCTATGACTGGCTGAGCAGGTGGTGCAGCAACTGGTGCCAAAATCATGGCACGAGAACCCTGATACTATGAGCTGCCCGTTACCCGAGGGCAAAATCTAGCAACGTGCCTCGGATTACCACAAGTATAACATAATCTCGGTTGCTGTGACTGCTGACCCTGTCGACCTGAATAGCCACCCTGATAACTCTGGAGTGGAGGTGCACTAATAAGAGCTGAATGTGCACTAAATGTTGGCTGCCCAGAGTAATGCATAATAGGACTGTGACTCTTTGAAGCATCGGGAGATGCATGAAGTGCTGAATGAAATGGTATGGGAGGATGACCCCTACCAAAATTACCCCTGCCTCCAGACGAGGCACCACTGAAATCACCTAACTGACGAGGCCTCTTATCAGACCTCTGCCCTCTCTCCTGTGCAAGAACCATCTCGATCCTCCTCGCAAAATTAGCAGCCGCCTGAAAAGAAATATCACTTTTGGTCTCATTGGCCATCTGAATCCTGATAGGGTGAGTGAGTCCCTTAATAAACCTCCTCACTCTCTCTCTCTCAGTAAGTAGTAAAAGGAGAGCATGATGGGCCAAACCCACAAAACGGGACTCATACTGAGTAACAATCATACTGCCCTGCTGTAGACGCTCAAATTGCTTGCGAAATTCCTCTCTTAGTGTGATAGGAAGGAGCTTCTCCAGAAATAGCTGAGAGAGCTGCTCCCAGGTAAGTGCAGGCGATCCAACTGGTCTGGTCAATATATAATCTCTCCACCATCTCTTGGCGGAATCCGTCATCTGAAATACAGCAAAATCAACCCCATTGGTCTCAACTATACCCATGTTCCGCAACACCTCGTGGCAGCGTTCTAGATAATCCTGTGGGTCCTCAGAAGGTGTACCACTGAAAGGAACTGGAAAGAGCTTAGTAAACTTATCCAGTCTCAATAAGGCCTCAAAAGACATGGTAAGCCTATCATCGGTCAATGTCGCAACAACTGGCTGAACTAGCCCAACTGGCGAGGCTGCTGGAGCCAGAGTCTGGGGAGCCATATGCTCTGGAGCAGGAGTAGTAGGAGTTTGTGCTCCTCCCCCAGCCTGTGAGACGGCTGGTGCCACTAGAAATGTACCATTCTGGGCCACGCCCTCCATAAGACTCATCAAACAGACTAGAGCGTCCTGAAGTACTAGAGTGGCTATGAATCCTCCCGAGACCTGAACTGGTCCAACTGGTACATTCTGAACTGAATCCTCCTCCTGAAGGTCCACCTGAGGTTCTACAACAAGTGCAGTTGCTCGAGCTCTGGACTGAGCTTTACCTCGACCTCTAGCATGACCTCGACCTCGATCTTTTAAGTTTTAAAATTTTCAATTTGCAAATCTCGCGCCAAAACATATTAAATGAATCCGGAATGACTTCAAATTTGGGACTACGAGGCGGTACCTCTGGAGATCCCCTGCATATTTACTTTTGGGACTACGAGGCGGTACCTCGGGAGATCCCCTGTTGAGCATTACTTTTGGGACTACGAGATGGTATCTCGGGAGTGCCCCTGTTGTTTATCCCTATGTGTTGTGCTGTTATCTTTCTGTAGTTTCTCCTCGTTAAATTTCCAGTCTCTTATTACATTGCTATATTTTTTGCCTTAAATTATTATATACCAGTAGGGCCCTGACCTGACCTCGTCACTACTTTACCAATGTTAGGCTTGGCACTTACTGGGTACCATTGTGGTGTACTCATGCTGCTCTTCTGCACATATTTTGTGTGCAGACCCATGTACCTCCTACCAACCCCACTATTAGTTGAGAGTACTTGTTGCTGCTTCGAAAACTTCAAGGTATATTTGCCAGCGTCCACAAACCTCAGAGTCCCCCTCTATCCTTTTTGTGTTGCTTTCCTAATTTTTCCTAGACACTGATGTATAAAGACAGATAGAACATCTCCTTAGAGCTTGTGACTCGTGACTATCGGGTTTTGGGAATTGTGTATACTCGAGTGTTGGTTTACTTGTACATGCCGAACGATATTTTTCAGTTATATAGTTATCTGTTGAAGTTTAGTTGTTAAATTCTGCTTCTATCTCAATTATTCCGCAATTGTTAGGCTTACCTAGTCGTAGAGATTAGGTGCCGTCACGACATCTTACAGAGGGGGAGTTGGGTGACAAACATGAATTTAAATATTAAGTTTGAATGCGAATGAGAAAGTAAATGGTTAATTTTAAGTTAGAATGAAATAGTGATAACAATGTTATTTCTATCACGTAAGAATTTAGATTTCAAGCATTTTGTTTCTGTTTACCTCTATAATTTACATTCCATCAATTAATTTATCCATGTTTTCATCTCTACGATTGCTCAACGCTGATTTTACTGAATAATTTTTTAATAACACTGTCAAACTACAACACCAATCGTAGTTGAATCAAAAATCATAATTGAGTGAATTCAAAGTTTTAGCAGATTTCAAATTAAATTAAATCGCCTCCAAACTTCGGATTCAACTTTGTATTAATATTTCCAACAAGAATCTATGCTACCCAGTTAATTTCTCATACAAGATTCAAATCTCACATAAAACTCAGTTTCTCCGAATTGCGATAATGGAACTTTTAATGTGAAACTCGAAATTTATCCACCCAAATCATTCAGTTTCCATCAATATTTAAGTTTTTGCGTTCAAACAAATATGAATCAGTGCACATAAGTCGATTTGAAATTCATTCTCTACTTTTCTTTCCTTAATAAATCAATTGAGAAAAGAATAATGTATGGTACATTAACGTACAAATTAAAAACAAATGCCGTACAAATTTAAATATCTACAACAACATACGTAGTAAAAACAAATTTCATACAACTAGTTATATAGTATACAATTTATCTATAACTTTCATGCATTATTTCTATCCAGTTAAATACAACTACAACATTATACAACTTAAATACAATTTTCATACAAATTTTATACAATATGTCTTTTGTATGTATTTTATATATAATTTGTATATATTTTGTAAGTGGTGTGTTCTTCTTCCTCTATGGAATTCCAGTCAAAACTTTCTCTCTTAAAACAATTTTGATATATATTAACGATTCATACATTATACGACTATTTTTCAACTTTCATACAAGATTCAAATAAATATATATATAATTACAACAAAATACAAGTTAAATACAATTTACATACAACTTTAATACAATTTCGTAAGTATATTGTATGTCATATCCTCCTCCTCCTCCTCCTCTTCTTCTTCTTCTTCTTCTGAAATTCAGCCAAAATCAAGTCTAATCCCTATCTTCTTCAATCTGAAATTCAGCCAAAATCAAGTCTAATCCTCACCAAACACCCTCAAAATTGAGATATAAACTCCAAAGAATATTTCCAATTGTTTGCAACAACACCCAATCCAAACCAACAATGGTTTTTGAAAATCCAAATTCGAATTCAAAGCTTTGGAGCTTTTTAATGGCTGTCAATGGTGGACATGAAAGGAAATTGCTAAGGCAAAACTCTATATTATAACAATTGAAATTCATTGATGAATTTTATGGAAAAAAGGATAAAAAGCAGAGAAAAACGAAGGAAGAAAATTGAGAAAATAATAGAGAAGAAGAGAAAGAGAGAGAGAGAGACGGAGAGAGAGAAAGAGAGGCAAAGAGAGAGAGAGAGCAGGGATGAAGATTCCCTATTCAATTCCTAATATAAAGGGATACTCATAAAGTCTCATATATAGTATAAGAAAGTAAAATCCCATTGAGAAACGTCATTGACAACAAGAAGCCCGACCCTACAGACAAACTTTTTAAAACTAAGACTACTCCCAATGCGAAAAATTGCAGAAATATGACACTTTAAGAATTAAGGGGTCGTTTGGCTTGCCTTCCTTATACATTAATTCATGGATAATTATGTATAAAATTTAGCATAACTTATTACAATATTTAGTTGGTGTTTTGGTCTCCGTATAACGTTTTGGACGACTTATACAATGTTTGATTGGAGTTTTGATAACCTTGCATAACGTATACAATGTTTAGTTACTGTATTTTTTTTTTATACTTGTATAAAATAATCTTAATTCATGCATAACTAATACCTTTATAATTTAATCCTTGTTTAAATAGTGCTTGAACCAAATGACCCCTAATGCGTAGTTTGCAGTTTGTTCCCCACTTGCCTTATGGGTAAACCTTTTGTAAGTCAAAATTTAAAAGCCCAAGAGGCAAACTTTTCGCCCCGCTTGCTCCATGGTCAAACCTTCAACGTCAAGATTAAACATTTTAAACTTAGAAAGTTTGTCCATAAGGCAAGCAAGGTTAAAAATTGAAAAATTGACATTGTATAGCCGCTCTCAAATAATAGCCAATTTTATTTTTTTTGTATATATACACATTCTGTATGTTATATACAAAAATTATATAAATTTTATATATATTTTCGACTATCGAATGTAAATAGTTTCTGGCGCGAGCTAAAAGTGATAATACCCCTTAAAAATTCAAGACACCCACTTTTAAGATCATTTTTGTAAATCACCCGTTCCGATGTATGTTGGGCTATATTTGTCCAAAACTTGTTGGGCCTGAAATCAATTTGTTCGAGTACAAAACAGATCCAGTCCAAACCAGTCGGCCCATTATTCAAAGCTCTACCCAGGTTTTCTTCAACATCCCTACTACACTCATGGCGGTTGATTTGCGCTAGTTTCAGCCATCGAGTCCTTCTCTCACCACCAGTCTCTCCCGGCGGCGCGTGTCAAGCCCACCGAACCTTTTTTTCTTACACTTCCTTTTTTACACTAATGGCGGAGTTGAAGAGGAAAAACAGAGGAGGAGGGAGCAGACAAAACAAAGGTCGAAAAGATTTTAAGAAGAGAAAACAAAATTCACATGAAGGCAAAGATGGTAGAAGAAAAGGTCCGCGTTTGCCTAATGCTATGTTAAAGGAGCTTCAATTACCTAAAAGGTCCAATGAATACTCCGATGAAGACATTGCTTCTGATGATGAAGCTGTTAATGATTTTTATGAATATGAAGAAGGGGTTGCTGAAGAAGAATCCAAGAAAAATAAACGATTTGGCCCTGTTGAAAATTTCCAGTATGAGCTTCCTGATGATTTTGAGGTACTAAAAGCTTTTTATTTTGTGCTTTTGAGGTCTATTTTTGTAGGAAAGTTTTAATCTTTGGCTGGATTATTTAATGTCTGAGTTTTATTATGGAAGAATATCGTTGGACTCGAATGAATTTCATAGGGAGGAATTAGTCTAGAATATGTTAAAATAAAATTTGGAACCTACATGAAAGGTATAAAAGTTGCAATCCCCCATTGAATGGTGAAAAAAAAGGCAGTCCGATGCAAGGGTACATCCCGTGTTCACGCCGGGTCCGGAGAAGGGCCGGGTGCGACGTAGACAACCTACCGTAACTCAAGCATTAGTAGCTGTTTCCACAGCTCGAACCCATGACCTATAGGTCACATGGAGACAACTTTATTGTTGCTCCAAGTTCACTTAGATTGAATCCCTGGAAGCAAAAAGTGCCAAAATGTTTTGGACAAAAAGGGGTACTGTTTTTTCCTTTTAAAATGGTGTCAAAGAGTGCACGTCTTATGTACGACAATCTTCAGAAATGGGGGATCAGCATATGCAGCAGGTGCTCACTTTGTGGTAATCAAACCAAAGATGTCTACCACCTATTTTTTCACTGTTCATTTACCTCACAGATATGGAGTTTCTTTTTAAGTATTTTGGAGGTCACATGGACAATGCCAATGACAACAATGGAGTTATTACAGAGTTGGCGTCTAAGAGGTTTAGAAAAGGCAAAGAGGAAAACTTGGAACACAATCCCTTCAGTGATTTGGTGGATAGTTTGGAAAGAAAGAAATGCTAGAGTTTTTGAGAGCAAACTGGAATCTGTAATTACCATTATATACATATGTATATCCTGTTTATTTTTTTGGTGCAACAGGGGTATCGCAAATGACATTGAGGCCATGGTTGACCTTTTGAGCTCATTACACAAGTCGTAATGGAGTCTACTGCTGTAAATACTTCCACAGCACATTCTAATTGCTGAAATCAGTATACTTTAACAATCAGTAACTTTTTTTGATTTGCATTAGCTGCACAAGATGGGAATAGCGAATTCGATTTTTTTGGGTCTTTTATAGATTTATAAGCATTGTACTTTTCTATGTAGGATGAAAATGTATCATCAGACGAAGGAGATGGTGATGAAGACGAGGATGGTCGGAGAGGAGATGATGATGATGAAGAGGACGATGAAAGGCATTCACGATTGTTGCAGGAAATCACTGGACTTCCCCCTGATGCTTTTGATGGTAAACTTGCAATTACTAGTAGAATATGATGTGTTTCTTCAAAGTCAATCCGTTGATATATTTTGTAACAGTGATTTGTATGTGCTACTTGTGTACATATGTGATGTGTTAGTCAAGTAAATTTTAGTATTTTTAAGCTTATTATTATTATTATTATTTTTTTTTTTTGCAATTCCATGTTTGTTTCCCTTTATTTTGTTGGAGAAGCATGCCTTATTAAGTGCTCCACTTTTCACAAAACCTGGGGAAAAACAGAGGAACCTTTGTCATTACATGGCATTTCTTTGAATACATTGTGTTAACCCATCACTAGAAGGACTGATCAAAACGTGTCTGAATGATAGGCAAGAAGAAGAAAAATGATGTTATTATATCTGAGGCATATCCTNGTTTCTTCAAAGTCATTACATGGCATTTCTTTGAATACATTGTGTGATCCAAGATGAGAAGGACCGATCAAAAGATGTCTGAATGATACGAAAGAAGAAGAAAAATGATGTTATTATATCCGAGGCATATCCAGAGTCTGAATATAATCCCAGTCGTGATATTCTGGATGGAGATGGCCGCATTAGCGTCGAGGATCTTCTCGGCCCTCTCCAGGGGAAGTCTGGCTATAGCAAAGTTAGAAAGAGCATGAGTCGGATGGAGAAGAAGTCCATACCCATGCATGCACCTCTTCCGAAACCAGATCAACAGAGATTGGAAAGAAAGGTAGCTTATGATTTTAGCAAGAAGGATGTTACGAAATGGGAACCTCATGTCAAAAGAAACAGAGAAGCAACAACTATCTATTTTGACGAAGATAGGGACGTGGGATTTTCTACTGTAGGAGCTATAGCTGCTGAATTTGAACCACGAACTGATTTTGAGAAAGAAATTGCTTCTCTTGTTAATGACAATGAGATCGTTGAAGCTCATAAAAAAGATGGTGCAAGGCTTCTTGAACTGAATAAGGTATGGAGGTCATAAAATTTTACACCCTTTATTTCATACTAATGGTTTTTCATTTAGTTCTCCTAAAGGAAAATGGTGCCTGTAAATTTTTTATATTATATTAATGTGTACCGCTTTGGCAGATATCTGTAGAAGATGTGAGGGACCGCCAAGACCAGCTTGCTAAGATGCGTAGCCTTCTTTTCCGTCATGAAATGAAGGCAAAACGAGTCAAGAAGATAAAATCAAAAGTGTATCATCGTTTGCTGAAAAAAGATAGATTGAAACAAGCAGGTACTGCAGTTGAAACTGACCCAGAAGCAGCCAAAGAGCAGGCAATGAAACAAGAATTCAAAAGGGCAGAGGTAATTTCTTTCATTACTTGCGTGAACTTACCTAGGGGTCTTTTCTGCTTTTCAGGTTATTTGCTGATTGAGTTTGTCTCTTTTGCGACTAAATTCTATGTAGGAACGCATGACTCTGAAGCACAAGAACAGCTCCAAGTGGGCAAAGCGCATCTTACAACGTGGCTTGGATGTGCAAGACGATGGAACTCGAGCCGCTATTACTGAACAACTGAATCAACATGCCCTTTTGACAAGAAAAGCAAATAGCATGAAAGAGAGTAGTAGTAGTGAAGAAAGCAGTGATGATGAAGACCTTGATGAGACTTCTGATGGATCAGATCAGGATGCTGCAATAAAACTGTTGAAGAAAGCGAAGGACAAGACCGTTGAAGTTTTAGAAGGGGATGAAGAATTGCCAGCGTCAGGAGTGCTTTCTTTACCTTTCATGGTAATTTCATTAATCTTCCCTTTGCACCACCACTTGCTCTTTATTTTTTGAGGTTTGGAATTTCATCTATGGTTATGCATCTCAGCTTGTTTATGTACCATCTTGAAACATTGTTACTTCACAGGTCCGTGGATTGAAAAGAAGGAAAGAAGCGGCCGATGAAGAAGCAAAGCTTGCTCTAAAAGAGTACGAGTCATCATTGAAGGAATTCGAAGAGAAGAACGAGCCAAAAACTCAAGGAACAAATATTTTGAGTGGTAGGAGAGTTTTTGGAGCTCAAAAAATGCAGCAACTCGAACCCAAAAAGAAAGTGACATCAGACAACTACTATGGTGACAGTGATAGTGAAGGTGAGAGAGATGCCAGAGAAACTGGCATTACTGCTCGTGAAGAAAATAATTTTCCTGAGAGGGAAGTTCATTTTGATCCCACTTCACTTCGTGAAGAGTCTGAGATTGGTCACGATTCCCTGTTTAAGGTAATTGCATCGTGAACTTCATCAAATCCTGCAGTACCATCTCATATTGCCCTCTTTCCTGCGTTGTTTGAGGTGATTAAAGTTTTAATTTGTTCTGGTTTCAGAGTTTTGAGGACGTTGCGAGAGAACCATGCCCAAAGACATCATACGAAGTTTCCATTTTTGCAGATGACTCTTGGAAAAAGGTTCAGCTTTTGTTTTCTCAAAAATCAATTTTCTTACTCCTTTTAGCAAAGTCTTATTGGTATATTTGGTGAACAGATGAATGATTCTTCAATTAAAGGGAAGCAGGCAAAATCTGCAAATGCAAAAAGTGCGATGGCTTTACAGATCACAGAACCTGTTGCGAGTGAACCTGATGGAAAGGTAATCTCTCTATATGCTGAATCCACAATGCAACTTTCTCTGACCTGTTTGTTACGAAAGCTTTACATTTTGCACCCCTAGTGTTTGCTCTTTTTTTGTGATTTACACCTTATCCTAATCCCAATATGTTTAGTGATTTGCTCCCTATCTCTTTATTTCCTTGCAAAACAATAAAGACACTTTCTTTCTCGATTATTCCTGAGGGCACAATAGGGAAAATACAAATAAGAAAAAGAAAAAATATGGTGTAAAATAAAATAAAGTTATCACATATTAAACAAAAAAAATACTTTTATTTCACCACAGTTATGCATGCAGTGGAGAGTGACAAGAGAAAATGCACTTCGCACTATTTGAGAGAATAGAAATGAAGAGGGTTTTTTTCCTCCACTATCATGAAAATGGCTGTAAGCTTAAATACGAAATGGTGACAGTACATCCAGCAGTTAGACAAGTTGAAGATTGTATATCTTCTATGCTTTATTTTACCCTTTCTTACTTTCCCATTTCTTCTATGTAACTTCTCCAGATTACGTTTCTTAATTGCTAAATCTTACTCTCTTTGTATTTTCTATCTTTGTGATACGATAACAATATCTGCCTTATTCTGCTTCAATGTCAATGTCAAATTAGCAGATTGTAACATCTGCAAAAATAGGGAGAAAATTGGAGAAAGCCCCTTTACAATTGCTTTATTTTGTACCTCAATGTCCATTTTGAAAAATAGGAGAAATATAAATATATTTCTGAACTTTTGCAAATCCACTAGGCCCCTTTGCAGTTGCACTTGCTAAAGCACAAAAGGTTTAAAAGCTATGCAAAAGAATGTGGCATTAGCAAACACCAATTCAACAGAACGTGAATAATAATTAATGAAAAGAAACAAGACAAAGAACATTAACAAAATGTCATTTCCTCTTCGACATTGAGTTACATTAACTTGGTGGGTATCTGATTTGTCTTGTTACTCTGAAAAAATTCCTTAAGCATTGTTTATGGCGAAGGTGCTCAAGAATTTAATCTTGGGACCTCTAGGTTTCATGAGATAGTTTAATGTGTATGCGGTCACCCGGCAAATGTGGTTCCTGCCCAATATGTAATATTGCTTTTTTCCTATCTTGCCCTCGTGGATAATTAAAAAAAGGATGTTTTAATTATTTTACAAGGAAATAGAGAGATTATGGTGCAAATTAAAAAAAGAAAGGCTAGGGGTGTAAATCAAAAAAGAGAGAACACATTAGGGGTGCAAAACACAAAGAATTTGTTTGTTATTGTTGACTCTTAATTCTGCTTGCAGGAAATTGATGAGGATAGTGATACAGATAGTGGAGGAGAAATGGTTGATGGGATTTTATCTTCTGGGACTAAGTCCACATATGAAATCCCATCTCAGGAAGAACTTATTCGGCGTGCTTTTGCTGGTGATGATGTTGAAGACGACTTTGAGAGAGAAAAACAAGATGCCTTGAATGAGGAAGTTCCCGAGCCTGAAAAACCCCTTTTACTGCCTGGTTGGGGCCAATGGACCAATATACAAAAGAAGAGAGGTCCGCCTTCTTGGATGCTTGAAGAACATGATAATGCCAAAAAGAAAAGGGAAGAAGCTCTCAAGAAGAGAAAAGATGCAAATTTGAATCATGTTATTATCTCCGAAAAGAGGGACAAGAAGGTTGGTCATAGACATCTTTCATCCTTTAAACTGATTTAAGAATCAACATTCTCGTGATTGATGTCAATTTGGATTTTAGTTGTTACTGATAGTGATTGCAGACTTATGTGCATGCGTGAATTTTTCTTATTGTATTTGCCTTTCTCCTTGGCTTTAAATTAGTGAAACTAAAATCATCTTGGTTACAAAAAAACTTAGCAAAATTAAAATCATCTTCTGCTTCAGTCGAGGTAGCAGTTAAAAGAGAAGTTGGATTGCTAATCAAACAAAGTAAATAAAAAAAGAACAGACAACGGCAGAAAGCAGTAGAGGAGAGTTTCAACTTCACCATCATTCATCTTACAGGAAAGGTTGTGAACCTGCTCGTCTTTTTAGAAACACTATTCTTAACTTTATGTAGATTTGGATACTTTAAATGGTCATGCTGTCTGTGCTGGAGATTTTCCAACACTCATTGAAACACGCAGTAAGGTTATTTTCATTATTTAGCCACACAACAAACTGTTCTTCAGTTTTCCTACACCTGTCTCAAGCCTGTCCAACAGATGCATATTTAGAAAACTTCTCTGTTCTTTACATGTACAGAAGGCCATGCCTTCAATGTTGCTTGTCCTTGCTCATAGTGTACAACTTTTACTGCGATTGACTCAGTTTCTACTTTTCCATGCAGGCTGACAAGTTACACACGCCGACATTACCTTATCCATTTACTTCCCAAGAAGTTTTTGAGCAGAGCATTCGGATGCCTATTGGACCTGAATTCAACCCCGTAACAACAGTTGGAGCTCTTACTCGGCCCGAGGTCCGTCCTCAAGCATACTATCTAACTTTTGTTTGCCTATCTTTCCATATTCTTGTTGTTTCCAGAAGTATATCTGAAACCCCGGATTCCCCCCCCCCCCCCCCCCCCAAAAAAAAAAAAAAATTATGAGTGAGAAAAGGGAAATGCCTGTTAAATTTTAAAATCCAGTTGGATGAAATATATTCTTTTTCTTAGCCCTTTCCCTTTTTTGGGTATAAGATTTTTCTTTGTTACTTTATTTTGGGAGAGGAGGGGTTGAGTTTCTAGCTGTGATCTGGAGGTGGAATAGATGTTATCTTTGCTTATGTTATAATTCTCGCAGGTGGTAAAGAGGAATGGTATTATCATAAAGCCTATCAAATTCGAGGAAGTTGATCCCCATGGAAGATCGGAGGACCACAAACGTGGTGGTATGCAGAAAAAGAAGGGTGGTAAAAGTAAGGGTAACAAAGCCACGAAAAAGAAAACCGTGTAGATTGGAAGCTAACTATTTCGCGACCTTTGACATTTTAAAGAAGGAACCCTTTCGTTGTTTTCTAGCAGTTGTGAGATCCGATGGTCAATAACCAGTGAATTTTCTCGCCATGTCCTTGTTTTGGATCTGTAGTTAGGGGAGCCTCTTTTCTGCAGTTTTGGTCGAAGAATTAGCTGCAGCTTCTTACAGTGAAGCCCGGAGAATTATGAAGATGAGAGGCTTTACTCTCCACGCATGCAGCGCAAAGAGATTTTTGTTGTGTTAGTAAATCTGTAGCACAAATGATGGGGGGGAATTGCCTACGAGTATGGTTACAGTTACGTATTTAATTATTTTTTTTCCTGATACGAATTTAATTATTGAATGTATTATGTTACTAGCTATGCTCGGATTTGAAAGTATTTAAAGTGTATAATTGTTTCAAGTGAAGCAGATGGTATGTATCAGTTTTGTTTCTTTGTGGTAAAGCGTAGATTTGGTTGTACTTTTGTTATTATGACTATCAAGTTTTAAATGGTTATGTGCCCATTATTCTTTAATGTGCATATTTTTTTTTTTTTGAAAATATCATACAATAGAATTTAACATCGTTAGTTTTTCTTCATCCAAACTGAATATTTCTGTGCTTGTAATAATTAGACTATTTTTTACCTTTTTCTTTAGAAAGAATTTTTAAAAAGAATTCAGTGTGGGGTGGGGGTGTGCGAAAATAATTTTTTTTCATCTTAAAAATGCGTAATGTTTCAGAGTAATATTCATTAAAAAGTTTAGTACCGCGTAATGTACCTTGCAGATTCTATTACGAGGAAATGGTTCAGCAGAACTCTTTATAGTTTGAAGAAGAAAATGACTTTATAAAGCTCTGTTGTATTTTATTTTCATTTCTTTTAAGGGTAAAACAAAAATCTCTTGAAAAATTTGACATAAACTTAAAAGATTGTAACGGTGCGAAAAACAATTTAATAATCGTGTGTCCAATCAATAAAAGATGAAATAAGTACACTGCCAAATTTTTTGAAGCAAGCACAAATCTCAAACAGGTGAAACACAATCAGTTTTATCAACACGAAAAGTAATACACGAATCTTGAACTTCTAATCATTTCTAATTATTTTTCTTTAAGAAAAGATTTCGTAGACAAACTAGAGATATACCACTTTAATATAAAGAGATTTTTACCTTAAAAGAAAAAAAAAATCGTATAACTGAATCCCTTAATTGAAGACGCTAATTATGATTTGAAAACCGTTTAATGAAAAATGTATATAACGGAAGAACTTGAATTTAAAGTAAGAAGCCTTAATGGATAAACATGAAGTACTAATTCCATCGGTAGATTGTTTAGTGAATTAAATCTTTTTTTTTTTTCGGTTTGATTGCGTCCCAAATGTTTCTAGTTATCTTGTTTTTTTTTAAATTTATTGAATGTTCCTTTTTTGCGTCTCACATTCCACTCACAAAAGAGCTTAATTTCATGATATGGAAAGAAATGAAGAAAAATCACGAAAAAGAAGCATGGATTAAGGACCTAAAATGCAAGCTACTAAGGTTAATAAATATTTAAGGGGTACACAAACATTAAAAGACAAATAATATGGACCGAATCTTGTAAATTGCGAGGAAAAAATAAAATTAGGAAGCCTAAAATACATAAAGGAAGCATAGGTTAAGGACGTAAAATGCAAAAGCTCTCATAAGATTGCACACTATCAAGCACCTATATCAAATTATTTTTATGCTCGAGTGTGTTTTTCAATTAGGTCCCTCATTAAAGCTGATTATACATACAATTTAGAAATGCACATACAACGGAGACGTCCAATTAACGTTAGCTCCGCTATATATATAATTCCGGCACACGGCGGACATCGGCTGTCATCGGCGGTGGTGCATTAGGCGGCAATGAGGTGGCAACCACCGGCACGGGTGGCCAATTATCGGGACACGACGGAGGAGGAGGTGCACCTGAACTAGTTTTACAAGAGGGAGCAGAGGGAGGAATTGGGACAAATTTTGGTAACATATGACGAAAATCTTTTATTTCCAATAGCTTTCTAGGAGTAGTTGCATGGATTGAAGAATAGCAAAGAGTTGTGAAAAGTAAAACAAGAAGGATTTTCGAAATTGCACTTTGTTTGGTCATTATAGAGTAATATTTAGTACTTATAAATATATATGTAGAAGAATGGTTTTACTAGCGAAGGAGCTATATGTTGTATATATAGTTCAAGAAATTAAAGAATGTAACAAAATTTGTACAGGTAATTGTTGAGTTGGATTTATTATTTACTGACCTTCTTTTCTGGTGGAAGATATGATCATTAAAACATTCCTATTTGGACTTATTTCGTAGGTCAAAAGGATTAGGAAGATGGGGAGTTAATTTATTACTTTTTGCCTTTTTATTCAGGAGAAATAAATTATGTTATGTAACAGTTGAATGATTAATTGAGTTTACACTGATTAAAAAAAAACGAAATATTCTCAATTTTATGACAAATCTGATCTCATGGCGTGTTCTGATTCTCCACTGACTTCACTGATATATGGACTTTTTATTTTATCTTTGATGTTATTGCTAGAGATGCACACATGATTTTCATTCGTATGGAATTAGAACGAATTTGGCGATTAAATTCTTGTTGGATTGCAAATGAAGAACAAAATAACAAAGACTCAACAAACCTAAGGACTTAAGATATTTTCAATCTTTGGATCTGGTCCTTGAGGCTGAAGCATCTTTGTTCTTGAGAGAGGTGGTGGCTAGCACATGAGAGAATATGATTTTTGGATTTGCAAGTGTTAGGAAAAGAAATCCCTTGCCTCATGTTGATAATATGTATGTGTGAGGTCATCAAAGATGATGCAATAAAGTGTCCTTTAGTTTGGCCTTAGCAAGCTATAGCTATGCTGTTGTACTGCTGCCAGATGGTACAGTGCAATACCTTTTACAACTGTAGAGTTGACTGTACGACGAACAAGGAAACTGATCTTTATCTGTTCCCTTTCCTATTCCCTTATCTGATTTCAATGAGAATTGAACCAGGCATCTGACTAGTTACTCTGAATGCAAGGAAACTAATTGTATCACGTTCCTTATCTGGTTCTCTCATTAAGTTTGTCAAATCATCAAAACAAAAGACGCATAACTTATAATTTTTAACTCCTAAATTTTAGGAAAAATTATCAAATTATAATTTTATCTAATGTGAAATCTATTTTTAAAGGGTAAAAAAGTCGGATGACATTTCGCTAAGGAGTTTCGTGCTTTTAATATAGTATAGATAGATATATATCGATATATATTATACATGAATTATACATTCACCGGCTATTTTAAATTTAGGCGCTTAAGTAGGTGGCATTATATCTTTGTGTGAAATATGTAGATGAAACTGAAAATTACGAGATGAGAGAGAATTGTTTGACCAAGAAATATAATCTCTGATTAAACTATTAAATTTATATAATGAATGGTTAAATCTAGTTAAGGATAATAACTCTAGATATTAGGTACAAGGATGTACAGTGGGAAAGATAGAGTTTGCATATGATTAATGGCAATAAATATGAAATTTCTTTACAACAAGAACATTAAATGAGATATATCTAGCAATAAATGTCAATAAATGGTATTTATATAAATAAGGAGAATGATTCACCCGATAATGAGTTGACAAGGAGAATATTCTGCATGGCAACGGTGAGTGACAAATAGATCCAAGATTCGTATGAACAATCCTTGGATCTGGTGGAAACGTGGGGAATAATATGAACGAGAATCTTTACAAAAAGGTAGTGTTTGTATCCTTTTGAGAGAGAGAGTCTTCTTCTCAAAAAGTGTTCTTATCAAATGAAAATTACCCCCTCACCCCTTATCTCTTTTTCTATTTATATGGGACATGTCCCTAGTCAACCCTAAAAGGACAAGTACAGAGAATATTTAATAGAATATTCTCTTAAATATCTTATTACAAAAACTAGCCGTTAGCATTCTGTTCTTGATACTTGACCTCGACCGTTATCGACCGCCCGGCCACGAGTCCCACTGTTCACTAGTCGACCTCGGCCACATCATTTTCCATAACATCACTTCATGCTAAATTCCCTTGGAGCAGATTTTGACCTATACAGTTAGTCCCTCCGCTTATTGAGGTCGACCTTGGATGAACTCAATGAGCGGACTCTGGTAGTTATGGCTGAGAAGTTTGGGCAAGCAGGTCAAGTAGTAGCATTTTAGATGGGGTGGCAACGTGGCATTCCGTGAGCCGCAACCTAGGGTCATGTCGATTCAGAGTGACGTCATGTCATCATGCATCATCATTACGCGTTTTCCCGATACCTTGCGTCTTGTCCCATGCCTCTGCCGTTTCAATTCCTGAGCTGTGTAACGATCACTTGCTTTCTCGATATTGATGCTTGAATTCTTATAAATAGGGATACATAATCCTTTGCCTTATTCTTTGCAATCTAAATATTGGATCTCTATACCTTCTTCCTTCTTGGTTCAAAATCCTTGCCCTCTTGATTTTACTATCGTATTTTGCTTTTATTGATTCCGGTGGGTTCTGCTACCCTTGACTCTTCTATGTATATACCCCCTTTATTCGTAAACAAATATGGTTAACGTGTCTTATAGTTCTGGGAGGGTACCTGACCCTATTCCCTTAGCGGTGCGCATGCCTCCCCATGACGATAAGGTTGCCATTGTTGCGGAGGATGAAAGATTTCCTATAGTGGAGGAAATAATCCCTCGTAGCGAGAAGGCTAGATCTGACTTTTTAAAGTTTCCCGAGGACGACCCTGAGGCCTCGTAATCGGTGATGGATGTGGATGCTCTTGCTAATTTCAGAGCGAAGTTCAAAATTTCGGCCTACATCGACCTTATCCCGGCTGGTTGTGACGTGGTGCAGATTCATCGCCCTGGATACTGCGCATTCTACGCGTATCCATTCTATGTGGGCTACTCCTTTCCCCTTCTCCCATTGGCGGAGGAATTTTGCCGCTACTACGGCATCTTCCCGACCCAACTTTCACCTTACATATACAAACTTATCCGCATGTTGATGAAGTACGCGAAATTGGCCGACCACGGGATCTCTCTTCGCCACCTGATGCACCTCTTCACACCTAATTTCTATAGAGGGACGATGTTGCATCTTCGTCATCGAGGGAGTAAGAGTTTGGTAGTGAAGATGGACGATAAAGCAAATCGCCGATTCTGGCTTAGCTACTTCTACGTCAAGACCGAGGACGTGGTGGCAAATGCGAATGGATTTCCTGAGGAATAGAATTATGCCCGTAAGTATTTTTTACTAAGAGCCTATTTTGCTCATTTTGATTGTAGCCTAACATTCTGCTTTTTCCTCATTCAACTGAGACTTCGCCCCCTCATTTGGTTGCGGATATTCATGACTGGGTTAGCCAGGTCTTGCCTCACACAGTGGAGATTCGCAAATGGTCGGCCTTTTTCAAGAAGTTTAGGCCCAAGCTTTCAGCGATCGGTGAGTTTGCCCATTTTGAATCTTTATTGTCGTTGCCTTCTCGCTTGCTTCTTATTGTTTTGTGGGGATCGACCTCTTAATCTTTTTTTCTTCTATTTTTTTTCTAGCTCGGGGATCCTCGAGGAGATCGAAGGCCCCTACTCATGCATTTCGCCAGATGAACGCTATAACGGGGTCCGCCCCTACTATGACTGTGGCCAAGCTTGCCTGGCCATCCACTTCTATTCGACCTCCGGTTTCGGCTAGATCGGCTTGATCACCGACGGCTTAAGTAACAGAGACTTAGTCCTCTCCCTTGCTTCACTTAATAGATGAAGAGTCTTCACCGAGCTTAGAGGATTTGGTCCATCATAAAATGAGGTCGGTGGATATCGACGATGGGATGATCCGAGCCATAGATTCTACAAGGAACGAACGTGAAACGACCTCCATTGTGCCTGAAGATGGTGTAAATTTTCCGTCTGAGGTCCTGCCATCAGTGGAAGCCGCAGAGAGCGTGCCCCTTCCTGATACCAACGTCGGAACTGGTTGAGTGTCCGTGGAGGTTCTGGGTACTGTGCGACAAGATGCGCCATCGTCTTTGCGGCCAATTGATGTTCCCACCTTGTTTACCAATGAGAGAGGTAAGGGGGTTGCTGAGTATGGTTACGATATGGGATCCGATATGGACCCTGAGAAGGTTAGGATGATGGGAGAAGGACTCACCCGGCTCGAGGTGATATTGGAGGGAACCACGCGGACCATTGCGATCCATCTGCACCGAGATCTGCTAGTTGATACGGAGGACGTAGTCCCTTCTTTTGTTCCCCTCTGTTCCAACATGGAGGGTAAGACCCTCGAGAAACTGAAGGATTACACATTGTCGAGGAGCATAGCCGGTCTTGCTCTTAGGGTAAGTTGGGTATTTCATTTGTATGTTCGTTCATGTCAAATCCGATTTTATTCTTACTCGCTCTGGTTTTCTTTTAAGACCGTGATCTTGGATATCGAAAGCTCCAGCCGAGAGGAGAGGCGGAAGGCCATTTTCCGAAAGATGGAGCGGAAATATCGCGAGTATCGTGATAAGCACTGCGAGCTTTGCAGGCGGTTTGGTGGGAGTAGCAACTTCCGGGCTCTCCGAATGATCTAAAGGAGAAGGATGGCGAATTGGTGAAAGTTATCGAAAAATGTAGTGAGCTCAAAGGGGTGTTGAAGGACAAGGAAGAGGAGCTCGAGGTGAGCAGGGGAGTCGAGGCCCAATGCGCCGACCTTCAAGTCCAAGTGAGCTCGCTGCGGGCCGAGCTCAAAAAAAGTCTAATCAAGGCAGATGCTCTGGGTGGTGAGCTCGCCGAGAGGATAGCAGACTTAGAGAAGTCGGAATAGGATCGGTTGGCGGCTTTGAGGCAAGTAAAGGCATCGGTGGCCGTAATCCGCGTTCTTCGTTCAGAGCGGTCGAGTGATTTAGAGACAACGAGGCTTAGATAGGAGCGACTCGACGAGCATATAAGGGAGTTGGAGGAAGAAAATTCGGGCCTTAATGAACGAGTTGTCTCCCTTGAAGTCGAAAAGTCCCAGTTATTGGCTCAACCGTCCTCTTCTTGTGCTTCTGCCATTCCTGACATTCCGCGGGATCTATATGAGATTTGGATACACGCCGAGGCCCAACGGGATATATTTAGAGACTTGATGGCGGCGGGGAAAGTTTTTGAGACCGACTTCGAGGACGCTCGTGCTAAGGCACGCTCAGCTCGGACTGCTTGTGGCTATGATCCCGCTACACCGGAGGCTGGTGATAGCGATGAGAGCATAGGCATGGACGAGATTGAAAAAGGTGCCTGGTATGAGGATGAGTATCCCGAAGGCGGTGGCGATGGTACTAGCGGAGAGGCAGGTAGATATGACCTTGGCAGTCAAATGGATGGCGTTGCTGGGTTAGGTGACGAGTAGTTGTCTTTATTTCTTTTTGCTTGTAAGTTTTGTACATATTTTGTGGGCATCTGTTGTAGCCTTTGTAAAGAATATATTTTACGAAATGACATTTTCGTTGCTCGTACCTGACTTTTTTCCTTCTGTTCAGGCTTGTATGCCTTTTTCTTTTATTTTGCCGTTTGGTCGCTTTAGTCGTAAAACCTTGGTTTATTTGTGTTCAACGAGGTCGAAATAGAACATAGTTTTGGTCATGGCCGGGGGCTGGTAGGTGCTAATTCGAATGAGGTCGAATGTAACTTATACTTAATTAATTCGAAACGAGGTCGAATGTAACTTATACTTAGTTAATTCGAGCAAGGTTGAATGTGAGTTAATTCGAGTGAGGTCGAATATAACCCGTACTTAGTTAATTCGAGCAAGGTCGAATATGAGTTAATTCGAGCGAGGTCGAATGTGAGTTAATTCGAGCGAGGTCGAATGTAACCCGTACTTAGTTAATTCGAGCAAGGTTGAATGTGAGTTAATTCGAGCGAGGTCGAATGTAACCCGTACTTAGTTAATTCGAGCAAGGTTGAATGTGAGTTAATTCGAGCGAGGTCAAATGTGATTTAATTGGAGTGAGGTCGAACGTGAGTTAATTCGAGCGAGGTCAAATATAACCCGTACTTATTTAATTCGAGCGAGGTCGAATGTAACCCGTACTTAGTTAATTCGAGCAAGGTCGAATGTGAGTTAATTCGAGCGAAGTCGAACATGAGTTAATTCGAGCAAAGTCGAACATGAGTTAATTCGAGCGAGGTCGAACGTGAGTTAATTCGAGCGAGGTCAAATGTAACCCGTACTTAGTTAATTCAAGCAAGGTCGAATGTGAGTTAATTCGAGCGAGGTCGAATGTAACTTTTACTTAATTGTGGCCGGGGGACGAGTAGGTATTGAGGCAATGTTACTCTGGCAAAAATATGGGCAAACTTCATGCATTTGTGTTTTGTTCATATACTTGGAGAAATTAACATGTTTTCCGGGCTGGCATTCCAGTCCCAGTTTATCTAGTCCCTTCATTGGGTGACCTAGAGAAGCATTGAGAGGTTGGGCAATGAACTGACCGTCCGGTGCCTTCTTCCATTTATACTTCAACTTGAAGTGTCCCCCTTGTCGCCTCGTTAAAAACCTCCTTGAGAAAACCCAATTGAGACAAAACTCAAGTGAGAGAAAAAAGAGTACGACTTGAAGAACGTTTTTTCTTAAAAGTTGAAGTACTTGAGGTGTGTGATGTTCCAGTTGTTTGGTAGTAGTTTTCCTTCCATTGTTTCTAGTTGGAAAGACCCTTTGTTTGCTGTAGCCGTGATTTTGTATGGACCGTCCCAATTTGTTCCCAGTTTGCCTTCCCATGGGTCTTTGCTTGCTTGTGTTTTGGCTTTGAGCACGTAGTCCCCGACTTTGAGTGGTCTGATCTTGGCCTTTTCGTTATAATAGAGTTCTGCCTATTATTTTTGGGCTACCATCCTTATGTAGGCCATATCTCTCTGTTCTTCGGCTTCATCGAGCTCTTGCCTTCTGCTTTCATCGTTCCCCGGCCTGCTCTATTGGGAGTATCTCAAACTGGGCTCTTCGACTTTGACTGGTATTACCGTATCCGTCCCATAGACTAATGAGTAGGGTGTCTCTCCTGTGCTTGTCTTCGGCGTTGTACAGTAGGCCCAAAACACTTCTGGTAATAACTTCGGCCATAGTCCTCAAGCTTTTTCTTCATGATGTTCAGTATTGATTTATTGGAGGATTCCGCTTGCTCGTTGCCCGCGAGGTGGTACGATGTTGAGATTATTCTTTTGATATGACACTTCTCAAAGAATTCGACGACCTTTTTTCCAGTGAATTGGGGTCCGTTGTCGCAACTGATCTCTTTGGGGAGGCCGAAGCGGCACACGATGTTTTTCCATATGAAGGCGATCACTTCTTGTTCGCGTATCTGGGAGAATGCTCCTGCTTCTACCCATTTAGAAAAATAGTCAGTTAAAACCAAAAGAAATCGTACGTTACCTCGCCCCGCAGGGAGGGGGGCAACGATGTCTATTCCCCACTTGATGAACGACCAAGGGGAAGTGACCGAGCGGAGGTGCTCGCCCGCTTGATGGATCATTGGGGTGTATTTTTGGCATTGCTCGAATTTTTTCATGAAGTCTGCGGCCTCTTTTTTCATAGTGGGCTAGTATTAACCAGCCCGTATGAGACATTTGACCAGAGCTTGATTGCCAGAATGAGCTCCGCAGTGGCCTTCGTGGACTTCTTCTAGGACGCGCCGCATTTGATTCGAACCTAAGCATTTCGCCAGGGGGCCGCCATACGTCCTCTTGTATAGGTCGTTATGAATGATGCTGTACCTGGATGCTTGTATCCGAAGTTTCTTGGCTTCCTTTTTATCATTTGGAAGTACGCCATCCTGCAAGTATGTAACAATACGGTTGCGCCAGTCCCAAGTGTTTTTCATAGCTAAACCAGGTAGAACCTTTTTTCCTAGGGGGATCCTGCTCATAGTTCTGAGTAGAAGTACTCTTCGCTTAGGTTGTTTTACGTAGCGNTTTTCTCCTAGGGGATCCAGCTCATAGTACCGGGTAGAAGTACTCTTCGCTCAGGTTGTTTTGCGTAACTTAACCCACGTAGAACCTTTTCGCCTAGGGGGATCCATCTCAAAGTTACTGGTAGAAGTACTTTTCGCTCAGGTTGTTTTATGTAGCTTAACCCAGGTAGAACCTTTTTGCCTGGGGGGATCCAGCTCATAGTTCCGGGTAGAAGTACTCTTCGCCCAGGTTGTTTTACATAGCTTAACCCATGTAGAACCTTTTCTCCTACGGGGATCCAGCTCATAGGTCTGGGTAGAAATACTCTTCGCTCAAGTTGTTTTACATAGCTTAACCCAGGTAGAACCTTTTCGCCTATGGGGATCCAGCTCATAGTACCAGNGGATCCAGCTCAAAGTTCCGGGTAGATGTACTCTTTGCTCAGGTTGTTTTACGTTGCTTAACCCAGGTAGAACCTTTTCGCCTGGGGGGATCTAGCTCATAGTTTCAGGTAGAAGTACTCTTCACCCAGGTTGTTTTACGTAGCTTAACCCAGGTAGAACCTTTTTGCCTAGTGGGATCCAGCTCATAGTTCCGGGTAGATGTACTCTTCCCCCAGGCTTGTTTTTCGTAGCTTAACCTAGGTAGAACTTTTTCGCCTAGGGTGATCCAGATCATAGTTCCGGGTAGAAGTACTCTTCACTCAGGCTGTTTTACGTAGCTTAACCCAGGTAGAATCTTTTCTCATAGAAGGATCCAGCTCATAGTTCCGAGTAGTAGTACTTTTCGCTCAGGCTATTTATTTGTAGCTTAACCCAGGTAGAACCTTTTCTCCTAGGGGGATCCAGCTATTAGTTCCGCGTAGAAGTACTCTTTGCCCAGGCTATTTTACGTAGATTAACCCAGGTAGAACCTTTTCGCCTAGGGGGATCCAACTCATAGTTCCAGGTAGAAGTACTCTTCGCTCAAGATGTTTTTCGTAGCTTAACCTAGGTAGAATCTTTATGCCTAGGGGGATCCAGCTCATAGTTTTCGGGTAGCAGTACTCTTCTCCCAGGGTATTTTTCATAGCTTAACCCAGGTAGAACCTTTTCTCCTAGGGGATCCAGCTCATAGTACCGGGTAGAAGTACTCTTCGCTCAGGTTGTTTTGCGTAACTTAACCCACGTAGAACCTTTTCGCCTAGGGGGATCCATCTCATAGTTACTGGTAGAAGTACTCTTCGCTCAGGTTGTTTTATGTAGCTTAACCCAGGTAGAACCTTTTTGCCTGGGGGGATCCAGCTCATAGTTTCGGGTAGAAGTACTCTTCGCCCAGGCTTGTTTTTCGTAGCTTAACCCAGGTCGAACCTTTTCGCCTAGGGGGATCCAGCTCATATTTCAGGGTAGGAGTGCTTTTCGTCCAGGCTTGTTTTTCTTAGCTTAACCCACGTATAACCTTTTTGCCTAGGGGGATCCTGCTCATAGTTCCGGGTAGAAGTACTCTTCGCTCAGGTTATTTTACGTATCTTAACCCAAGTTGAACCTTCTCGCCTAGGGTGATCCAGCTAATAGTTTCCGGGTAGAAGTACTCTTCACTCAGGTTGTTTTACGTAGCTTACCCCAGGTAGAACATTTTCACCTAGGGGGATCCAGCTCAAAGTTCCGGGTAGATGTACTCTTTGCTCAGGTTGTTTTACGTTGCTTAACCCAGGTAGAACCTTTTCGCCTGGGGGGATCTAGCTCATAGTTTCAGGTAGAAGTACTCTTCACCCAGGTTGTTTTACGTAGCTTAACCCAGGTAGAACCTTTTTGCCTAGTGGGATCCAGCTCATAGTTCCGGGTAGATGTACTCTTCCCCCAGGCTTGTTTTTCGTAGCTTAACCTAGGTAGAACTTTTTCGCCTAGGGTGATCCAGATCATAGTTCCGGGTAGAAGTACTCTTCACTCAGGCTGTTTTACGTAGCTTAACCCAGGTAGAATCTTTTCTCATAGAAGGATCCAGCTCATAGTTCCGAGTAGTAGTACTTTTCGCTCAGGCTATTTATTTGTAGCTTAACCCAGGTAGAACCTTTTCTCCTAGGGGGATCCAGCTATTAGTTCCGCGTAGAAGTACTCTTTGCCCAGGCTATTTTACGTAGATTAACCCAGGTAGAACCTTTTCGCCTAGGGGGATCCAACTCATAGTTCCAGGTAGAAGTACTCTTCGCTCAGGATGTTTTTCGTAGCTTAACCTAGGTAGAATCTTTATGCCTAGGGGGATCCAGCTCATAGTTTTCGGGTAGAAGTACTCTTTTCCCAGGGTATTTTTCATAGCTTAACCCAGGTAGAACCTTTTCTCCTAGGGGATCCAGCTCATAGTACCGGGTAGAAGTACTCTTCGCTCAGGTTGTTTTGCGTAACTTAACCCACGTAGAACCTTTTCGCCTAGGGGGATCCATCTCAAAGTTACTGGTAGAAGTACTTTTCGCTCAGGTTGTTTTATGTAGCTTAACCCAGGTAGAACCTTTTTGCCTGGGGGGATCCAGCTCATAGTTTCGGGTAGAAGTACTCTTCGCCCAGGCTTGTTTTTCGTAGCTTAACCCAGGTCGAACCTTTTCGCCTAGGGGGATCCAGCTCATATTTCAGGGTAGGAGTGCTTTTCGTCCAGGCTTGTTTTTCTTAGCTTAACCCACGTATAACCTTTTTGCCTAGGGGGATCCTGCTCATAGTTCCGGGTAGAAGTACTCTTCGCTCAGGTTATTTTACATATCTTAACCCAAGTTGAACCTTCTCGCCTAGGGTGATCCAGCTAATAGTTTCCGGGTAGAAGTACTCTTCACTCAGGTTGTTTTACGTAGCTTACCCCAGGTAGAATATTTTCACCTAGGGGGATCCAGCTCAATGTTCCGGGTAGATGTACTCTTTGCTCAGGTTGTTTTACGTTGCTTAACCCAGGTAGAACCTTTTCGCCTGGGGGGATCCAGCTCATAGTTTCAGGTAGAAGTACTCTTCACCCAGGTTGTTTTATGTAGCTTAACCCAGGTAGAACCTTTTTGCCTAGTGGGATCCAGCTCATAGTTCTGGGTAGATGTACTCTTCCCCCAGGCTTGTTTTTTGTAGCTTAACCTAGGTAGAACTTTTTCGCCTAGGGTGATCCAGATCATAGTTCCGGGTAGAAGTACTCTTCACCCAGGTTGTTTTATGTAGCTTAACCCAGGTAGAACCTTTTCGCCTAGGGGGATCCAACTCATAGTTCCAGGTAGAAGTACTCTTCGCTCAAGATGTTTTTCGTAGCTTAACCTAGGTAGAATCTTTATGCCTAGGGGGATCCAGCTCATAGTTTTCGGGTAGCAGTACTCTTCTCCCAGGGTATTTTTCATAGCTTAACCCAGGTAGAACCTTTTTGCCTGGGGGGGTCCAGCTCATAGTTTCGGGTAGAAGTACTCTTCGCTCAGGTTGTTTTATGTAGCTTAACCCAGGTAGAACCTTTTTGCCTGGGGGGGTCCAGCTCATAGTTTCGGGTAGAAGTACTCTTCGCTCAGGTTGTTTTATGTAGCTTAACCCAGGTAGAACCTTTTTGCCTGGGGGGGTCCAGCTCATAGTTTCGGGTAGAAGTACTCTTCGCTCAGGTTGTTTTATGTAGCTTAACCCAGGTAGAACCTTTTTGCCTGGGGGGGTCCAGCTCATAGTTTCGGGTAGAAGTACTCTTCGCTCAGGTTGTTTTATGTAGCTTAACCCAGGTAGAACCTTTTTGCCTGGGGGGGTCCAGCTCATAGTTTCGGGTAGAAGTACTCTTCGCTCAGGTTGTTTTATGTAGCTTAACCCAGGTAGAACCTTTTTGCCTGGGGGGATCCAGCTCATAGTTTCGGGTAGAAGTACTCTTCGCCCAGGCTTGTTTTTCGTAGCTTAACCCAGGTCGAACCTTTTCGCCTAGGGGGATCCAGCTCATATTTCAGGGTAGGAGTGCTTTTCGTCCAGGCTTGTTTTTCTTAGCTTAACCCACGTATAACCTTTTTGCCTAGGGGGATCCTGCTCATAGTTCCGGGTAGAAGTACTCTTCGCTCAGGTTATTTTACGTCTCTTAACCCAAGTTGAACCTTCTCGCCTAGGGTGATCCAGCTAATAGTTTCCGGGTAGAAGTACTCTTCACTCAGGTTGTTTTACGTAGCTTACCCCAGGTAGAACATTTTCACCTAGGGGGATCCAGCTCAAAGTTCCGGGTAGATGTACTCTTTGCTCAGGTTGTTTTACGTTGCTTAACCCAGGTAGAACATTTTCGCCTGGGGGGATCCAGCTTATAGTTTCAGGTAGAAGTACTCTTCACCCAGGTTGTTTTATGTAGCTTAACCCAGGTAGAACCTTTTTGCCTGGGGGAATCCAGCTCATAGTTTCGGGTAGAAGTACTCTTCGCCCAGACTTGTTTTTCGTAGCTTAGCCCAGGTCGAACCTTTTCGCCAAGGGGGATCCAGCTCATATTTCAGGGTAGGAGTGCTTTTCGTCCAGGCTTGTTTTTCTTAGCTTAACCCACGTATAACCTTTTTGCCTAGGGGGATCCTGCTCATAGTTCCGTGTAGAAGTACTCTTCGCTCAGGTTATTTTACGTATCTTAACCCAAGTTGAACCTTCTCGCCTAGGGTGATCCAGCTCATAGTTTCCGGGTAGAAGTACTCTTCGCTCAAGTTGTTTTACGTAGCTTAACCCAGGTAGAAGATTTTTGCCTAGGGGGATCAAGCTCATAGTTCCGGGTAGAAGTACTCTCTGCTCGGGTTGTTTTACGTAGATTAACCCAGGTGGAACCTTTTTACCTATGGGGATCTAGCTCATAGTTCTGAGTAGAAGTACTCTTCGCCCAGGCTTGTTTTTCGTAGCTTAACCTAGGTAGAACCTTTTCGCCTAGGGGGATCCAGCTCATAGTTCCAGGTAAAAGTACTCTTCGCTCAGGTCTTTTTTCTTAGCTTAACCCTGGTAGA